ATTATTATGTTATTGTATTTAATATCAAGTAAATCAAGATAATTTTCCTTGTGATATTACAAATATGTTATGTGTAAATTTTATGAATATTGAATAAAGACTAATGAGTATTATAATAGTGCACATCTCTCATATTATCAATTAATTTGGTTGAAAATAGGTCAAGGATGTGCTAGATATGTTAACATACTTATAAATAATTTATTTTTTAAAAAAAAAAAGAAGACATTTTACATACATTTATTTTGCGCTAAAATTGTGTTTAAAAATAAAGCCAGTAAATTATTCGTTCTTTTTACTGACAAGGGACAATATAGTCAATAAGTAAATACGTCCAGTTCTTATTTTATTTATAAAGTATTCCACAAAAAAGTTGAAAGTTAAAAAACACATCAAATTAAATTTAGTAGTAGCAAGATGAACGTTATATGTATATTAATTATACATTTATAGCGTTTGGGATATAGTATAATAATAATACTATAATAACTATCACGCGTTATTAAATACTTTTATACTTTCAATCCTCATTCCCGCCAAAAAGGTTCACTCACCTCTTCGATCCTATGCATTGTGTTGCCAAATTGTTTAGTTATAATGCGAAAGTAGCTGGCTGGCTAGTGGCTAGCCATGGCTTGCGGATTTATCGTAGCGTTTTAATGGACAAAAATCAAGACAAACCTCTACTTTTATTACTTACCATGTTTTTGTTTTACTAGGTATCGTAAGTGTATAACAATATAGTATATTATAAACTGAATTAATATTATATAACAATATAACATTAATACCAATTAATAATCAAAGGTGCAATCAACGTAAAATTGTGGCTGATCAGTAAAATGTTATCATAATATACCTATACATGACTAATGTGATACAATTCTGACTTAGCTACAATAATTATAATTATACCTATGAAAGTTTATTGCATATTTTTGTCGTGAGTTTGTTATTATTTTTAGAAATGTAAGCATTTATTTTGCGCATACATTTTATATAATGTTTTTCTTTTATATGGAATCACAAGTATGGGATAGACCTCATGGACGTAATTTAACTTAAGCTAGAACTTTTATGCATTAGTATTAGTATTAGTATGTTTTGTTTTTTTTGAAGAAGAAGAAGAAGTAGAAGAAGGAGAATCTCTTTACAAATTTGATCTTAAGTACCCACAAAAGCACTGACTAATTCACATTGATATAAATTATCGAACTATTGTAATGTATATTATTAGTAATAATATACATTACAATAGTTAATAATTTATTACATATTTTAACTTGAAGTGTAAAAATGCATGTTCATTAAAATAATAGATATTTTTAAATTAAATAAGAGTAAAAGGCTAGACGCTGCTTTTAATTATTATGCCCCTAAATTTGTTTTCATAAAATCAATGTTGTAACAAAAATTTTTTAAATTATATTAAAAATGTCATGGATTTATTTAGAAACAATACTAAAAAATAATATTATATAGCTTACATAAAAACTACCTTCATAATCTTTTCAAGTGAAGAGTAGATTGAACTAATCTATTTTAAAATAATTATAAAATATTTCTTTTTCTCTTCTATGAATAATGATAATATATTATACTGATAGACACTTATTTAATTATTATTAAATTCACTGTACCTATACTTGATTATATTTGTATACATTTTTAATTATTATATATTTTAAAATATATAAATACATACTCTACTACTATAACAATTAAATATTAAATGTACCTATAACAAATGCAATGTTTTCTTTAAAAATGTTATCAATCTTACGTAATACTATAATACTACTTTATTATAGTAAAATAAATTACTTTAATAGCTATATCAAAATTATATCATAAAATATACTTATAACTAAAATTATGGAGAGATTCTTTGCTTTGAATCATTTTTCGTATGTAATGATTTATTATTAAACTCAAATTTAAAACATTCATTTTTACAATGAATTACTCGATGGCAACAGGACGTTCAACAAATCAATTTGTATGTATATTTAATTTTATAATTGCATCCATATATCGCGGGGACATGAATTGAAATTTTGATAACTCCGTTATCTTGAAACCAATATTCATATTTATATTTCATACGATCTTTTGAATGTACTACAATAATATTATGCATGCATGCATGTATGACGGCGCTTTAGGTAGGCAACTAAAATTCGTTTTTTTTTTTTTAATTTATAATAACAAAGAATAACAACTATACCTAAAGTTGATTTGTTTAATTAAAGATCTTGATATAATTTTTTTCGATTTCATTTTCATTTACAGCGTGCATGCATTTAATAGTATAATTAAAGCAATCAGTTTTGGATAATTTATCGATACAAACAGTGACATTGTTATAGGGTCCCTAGAGATATCAAAGTATCTTAAATAGTAATCTCATATAAACATAATAGTCAGTAACGTATCCAGAAATTTATTTGGAAAGAGATGAACAATTGTTTTTTGTGAGAGAGACTTAACTAAAATCCATAATAAGTAAAATATGTTAATGTCAAAGATGTATATAACATTTTAGACTTTTCCAGCAACCTATATCTTGTATTATAATTACAACAGTTATATATTTGCTTGCCATTCGTCCCGGTTTTAACAGCATGTCCCGGTTTCCCGGTAGATCTTTATTTTTGTCTCAATTAATGTGAGCCGAAAGAAAATAACTTTAATATCATATCATTAAATAATATTGTACATATAGTACCATTAACGAATGTTATCTAAATTTTATCGACCTGTTTAAAGATTTATTTGTCATTTTTTTTTCAAGAGCTTCAGAAATTTTAAACTTGAAACTAAAAAAAAAAAAAAAAGATTATTCAACATGATGTCCCGGTTTGGTACTCTATATAATATAATATAATATATACCAATATATGTACTTGCATAATATTTTAAATTAAATATAGCATACATGACAACGATATTGTATAGTTCATAATTTAAACATTGTATATGTAAATTATTTATATATACTATAATTAGGTTAATTTATTAATTATATCAATTATATTTACAGTATTTACTGTAAATATAATTAACATAGGTACGAAGAATATGCTTTCTACGCAAATGTTTAATAGTGTGTCCTAAATCAGTTAGAAAACGTAGTGAAGACGCGCCAACTACGAAATCTAACCAGATTCGGGTACTAATGCCCTAGTTCAGTTAGGAATCAGAAATACGCATCCGGTACCGGCTCATCAGATAGGTTTACCTCCATTGCCACCACCGATATTAGCTCAGACGGCGGTCTACTAGCGGCCTCCGGTTGCGAATTTAGCGTAAGGAGCATGGCTAACCAATGTTGTTAGCTTGTCGACTGTTCTTTGACCTTCCTCTTCTCCTTAAGCTTTGAGAACATTTTACGATCCCTCGTCTGCTGAGCCTCCATCCTAGTCTTCACCGCCAGAGTGAGAAGCGCCCCAGACGCCTTGGGTACCAGTTTCGGTTTCTTAGTCGTCGCGGAGCTGAATTAACTCATCGTCTTAGCGGTCGCTTGTTGTTGTGGCCGCTTTGACGGCCCGTGTTTCAGCCTCGGTGACTAGTCATTGCCATGGCTATCATTAGCATAGTGATCTGTATTATTTTTAATTGACAAATATATTTATATTTATTAGAATAAGAATCCGAATGTTGATTTTATAATATTACAAAAAATTTATTAGGTCCAAGTGAAGTTTTATTATTAACTAGTGTTAGTAAAATAGTATAGACATTTATATTATTATCATTATATCATTATATTATTCAAAATATAAAAACTATAAAATAAAATAATCCTTATCTTTTCAATTTATTTACAGAAACATTTCATGGATATCTGCATAAGTATTATAATAATAAAAACAATTAAAGCGTTGTCAAAAATATTCATCTTATGTTGTTTAATACGAACTTAAGTTGATGTTGAATTGTAAAAGTCCATTTTAAATTAAAACCATATTATTGTGAATTCTGTTCGTCAAAATAATATTTGATAGCTTTTTTCTTTGTTTATGCGAATATTTGACATATTACAGTAAATAATTAAAAATTTAAATAATGTAATTAATTAGATATTACCAAACATTATAAATAATAATAGAACTCAAATTTCTATTTTTTTTTTTTTATTTCAATTCTTGAAACATATTGTTTTTCAAGATACTGATGTGGTTTAAGTAATTACACAATATACACACTATTCTAACGAACTTTTTTAAAGTTTTTGCGGCATTAATTATTTTTATTAGTTTATTTTCAATCTATTTCCAATAAGTAATAATAGTAAGAAAAAAAATTCTACCAAATATTAATACAAATACTGAAACACATCATTTTTAATTTTGTATAGTAATTGTCAGGTAATTTAAATAATTGGTTTTTAAACAAATAGCGATATCTTCTTTACACTTGTCGATTATTTAATATGTCCTTCATGTTTTCTAATCATATAAAGTGATTCGCGTGATCACGCCCATCCATTAATAATTTTTATTAAAGTTTTTGAAGTTATTACGCTATAAATGCATTTTTGATATTTGAAAAAAATTAAAATCCGAGCTTCAGTAATAATACTATATGTATCGTATAATAACAGTGCATTTTTCATTGTAATTTGTACAGAATTAAAACTACTTATTGATATTATTTAGATTATTGTTCTGCAAGTCTGCTTTTTACTGCGATAGTAGACGGTGCCTATATATATAGGTCTGCAGGTCTACTTTTTAGTGCGTCTCGTGATTGTAATTTTTAAACATACAATCATAGGATTAATTAAATTTTATTTATTCTGTGGTTACGCTAGTACACGGCACATTACGTAACCTCATAATTCATGAACGCTCAAACCGGTACGTATCGATGCACTTAAATTTCTTCCTTGAAAATCTTAATACAAAAATGTTGATAAGATATTTTGAACTGTTGTGATGACTGATAACATAACGGTGACTGTTAGAAATCCCCTGAAATGAACATATTGATTGGACGTTTTCCCTCCAAAACAACAATGTAACGAACACCAGTCACTGATGGCCGGCATTCATTTTCATTTTTCGAGTTCCAATTTTAAACGGTATCACACTTACTCGTACATTAGTTTCAACTGTTTCAAACGTTTTAACAATTAACATTCAGTTAGATGTTTTGTAGCACAGTTTATTGTCAGTTATTACTATAATTAATATTAAATTTACTCCTCGGTCTTAACTTAGTGTAAGTATGTTTTTAAAGATAGCCAGCAAAATATTTTGCTATGTATACTCAATATAGTATTTATATTGTTTTAGGAAAAGGATGTCTGCTTTTACAACTCCTCGCAAGTCTCTTCGGTTACGTAAAACTGAACCATCGCCATTTTTATCAAATCGAAAACGTGAATTATTCCCCGTAGACAACTGGGATGAAGACAGCCATGATATTGCTCCTTTACAATCATCACCTGAAGTGTATGATCCTGGACTTGATTCTCCAAATACATCATTTAACACGAATTCCACTCCAATCACTGAATTAAGTCCTACTATGAGTGATAAATTTGAAAGACTTATGTCGGGATCAAAGAATGGACATAAATGTTCTGCAACTATTGTCATTGAGGAAACTCCAAATTTTAGACGAATTAAAAACGTTAACACAACACCCTTTGAATCAGAGACTAACAAAGAAGCTAAGACTCCTTCCAAAAAAAACTCAAATTTAAATAATAAGGCTGTATTAGGAGTAAAAACATTAAACTTTTATGGCAGTAATCAGGTAAAAATGTTAAATAAATTACTAATAATTTAATATATACATGTATTATATTTTGTGTATATGTTTTATTTAGAAATCTAAAAAAACATTAAATGCATTGTTTACAAATCATTTAATTATGTTCGTATTTGTTTCTTCATAGATATCACTCGAAGATCTTCGTGTTAAAAGATTTACTCGCTTAAATTATAATCCAAAGGTAAAAGCTAAACTATTCAAAGATACAAAATCAACCACTAAGAAAAGACCAAGATCAACCAGTCAAGAAAAAAAATCTAAGGTTACTTTGTTTCCGGGTGTTATATTACCATTTAAAAAAAAGTCTGCAAATAAAAAACCATTAATCAAAACTGAAATATGTGAAGAAAAAGACGATTTAATTGAGACCATTGAAGTAGTTAAGAAAAACAATTTTGATATTTCTAAACCATCTTTAAAAAATGTTTGGACAGAATATATAAAACAGGAAAAACCTGAACGTATAAAAATTGAAGATTCTGATAACCGAAAATTTTTCAAATCAAAAGTAATTCATAATGATTTACCTAATAGGTAAAGATATTTTTTTTACACAATATTATTTATTTATATAAAATGATTACATTTTAAATATTAATTTTTGTAGTAAAAAAGATAATAGCTTTAACTTTAAAGTTGTAAACTGGGGTGATGAAAATAAGATGTGCACAGTTGATCAATTTGATTTCAATAACACAGAAATACTAGATGATGGTACAATTGAACAAATTGGACAAGAAGTTAATGAGTTATTAGAATTGTTGGATGATGAAGAAGATGACAATAACGATTCAACAGCTGTTCGTTACCCTGGTCTCTCATCAAATTCTACAAAAAGAAATCACGAAGATCAAGATGGTATGAAATTATTCATAATATATAATTTCAATTAAATGTATTCATTAAAGTATTAAGCTACTATAATTGTGTAAAAAATTTAAAATAATTTGTTTCATAGGATAAAATATTAATATTTATACTTCATCCAATCAGTGGTGTGGTAATTGGTGTTTAATAATCAATGCTATTGCACTGCACTGACTCTATAAAAATAAGGTTTTTTTTTAGTTGTGACAGGTCTATAATTTTATCACCATGCCATTGCATTAAAATAATTTAAAGAACTATAAATAATTTTCAGATGAAGATTCATGCATGGAGCTAGATCCTAAACGTTTAAAATCAAATATACAAAACCACAATAATATTTTAAGATGTCAAATGCCAGATTTGATTAGAGATGCTTATGCCATTGATGGAAATTATCATTCAGCGTATTCTTCAGAAAAAAAATTAGTCAAAAAGCAATTATAATTAATTTATGCAAATCATTAAATTAAATATATAATTATATTTTAGTGTTTCGAGTACTTTTGAATCTAATATGGTCATAGATGAATCAATAGATACTTCAAATAATTCTTCTGTAATTTTAAATGAATCGCCCAAAACAAAGTTGTTCCCTATTTTTACCAATCAAACCCCTTCACCAAGTCATATTACATGGTAATTGTGCTTTTTTTTTTAACTTAAATAAATAATTATTATCTATAAAAATAAATTTTCATAATTTTTATTGTAGTGGAAAACCTACTACACGAAGACTAAAAAGAATTATTGATGCTACTCAATATCAAATTGATGCTGGTCAAAAGAAATTTGGTGGCTTTTTGTGCAAACAATGTGGTCTATATTATTCGAGAGGTGAACCAGAAGATGAAGCAGAACATGATAAATACCATGCAGCTAAAGATATCTTTAAGTATAATGTATGTTGATTAAAATAAATTGTTTCCTTTTTATAATTTAAACTTAATATTTATATTTTAGGGTTTTAAAAATGAAAAAGTAGTTTATCAAGACACTACTGAGCGTATTGTTGTTATATCTGGTTCAGATTCTAAAATGGCATGTACAAAAGCTCTAGAAGTTATATCATTCGTTGATGTAGAGCTTGGCTTTAACACACAAAATTCTGTTTTGCCTGCAACTAAAAAGGTATTTTTAGTTTTTCCTAGTAATTTATTGCTTGATATTAATAATTAACATATTCATAAGATTAACATTTAATATTTCAGGTTTATTTATACATAAAAGATAAACAAGTGATTGGATGCCTTGTAGTAGAATTGATATCTGAGGCATATCGTAATCTAGAAACTGAAACAGAAGACATGGTTATTGTTTCTGAAGAATCATATCCTGTAAAAGTTGGTGTTAACCGTATATGGACAAAATGGGATTGTCGTAATAATGGAATTGCTTCAAAACTCCTTGACTGTTTTCGGTAAGATTTTTGAAATTTATCGGTTATTGCGATTACTCTGAAATTATGTCATGGTGTTCTCAGTAAACTGTTATTTTGACTATCACAGATTAATGCTACATTAAACTATTATAGCACATTTTTTCAAGTAGGCTTTCCCATTAAGACTTAAAGCACTAAATATATAAAAGCGATGTATGGTTGTTTATAACTTAATTCTTTTGAAACACAATTTATCTTAAAAATCTGGACTTATCATAAAAAAAAAAAAAGATTGCTCTAACTTTTCCATAGAGAAACTATAATATTTTACTGAAAAAATGAGTATGTAGCTCATGAATCTAGATTAATCCTACTTATGTCACATCTTTCAATAAAACTCAGATAGTTACATAGATTGCAGTTGTAATCCAATTAAAATTTTTTTAATGGATTTTAAATCTATATTTACAAATTTATATTCAATATATAAATTTCTATGATCACGACAATTGCTATGAACAGTATTTGATAACAAACTAATTGAATTAAACCATTTATCATTTGTGATTTTCAAAATACTAAAAATAAATTTACTTTCTGATGGATTACAATAATAATCTAAGAGGCAAATTTAATGCGAAATCCTGTAAAAAAAATTAAGCAAATAAATACCTATGCAGTCTGTATATTGTAAATACTAGCTGGGATTTGGTTTTTTTGCATATGTTTTTGAACAGACCTGCTTATAAAATAACAAAATTATATGACATTGTTGATCTGTGATTGTTGCTATAACAGATTTGAATTAACCAAAAAACTTAATTGGGGTAGTCACAATAGCCAATGAGTACAGATCTTTTGAGAAATGTTTTGTTCATTAATAATTTAATTGTTTTAGTAAAAACTATGCATATGGTCATATATTGACACTTCATGAAATAGCATTTACAGTACCCACACGTGCTGGAAAACAATTTATTAAAAAGTACACAAACAAAAATGATTATTTTGTTTATACTGGGTGGTAATTATGTATTTTAATTCTTAATTATAATAATTATTCACTAAATTTATTTTATTGCTAAGATTAAATTAAGACTTAGTATTAAAATAAATATTTTTATAAAATTATAATGTTTAATATTGACTTAGTTTTAAAATCATAAAAACTTATTTAATTACCAAATTGATAGCTCTTCTTCAAGTATACTAGTTTAATGTGTTCATGACTTAATGACAATTAAAGTTCTATTTGTATATTTATTTAACTATAGTATTATAAATAATGTTCATTAATGCATCTCTCAATCAAGATAATTTCATAATACTTTAGAACTGTATCAAATAAGTAACATTTAAATTACTATATTCAGATTCATCTAAGTATAAAATATTAATTTTTGAATTGTAAAATGTATTGTCCTAATTTGAGCAACTTGTATAGTGTATTTACTTAATTAGAGTTAGTATTATTTATGTATTTTTATTTTATGCATAATGTTTATTTTTTTATTGTATCATACTAAATAATAAGTTTCATTTTTTATATTATAACTGTGTTTCATGTATTTAATATTATTTTTAATTTTTGGAAAAAAAAATAAAATAATGTTTGCTACAAAAGTCTTTTTCAGAAAATTCTAAACCATAATAATTAATGTATTATCTTATTACATCAAGATACTTAGCAGTCTTTATAATTTGCCTTAATCGTGGATGGCACTAACTTTATATTAATGATCTAACCAAAATTAATTTTATTATATTTTAATAGTTAAGATAACTATGACTAAATTTATTTTTGATAAAACATTATTAATCAAGAAGACTGCATTGTATTTGTAATAAATGCCTAATATTTAAATAATAATTTATGATAAAGAGAGAATATAACTAAATGTATATGTATTTTTAATCAAATAATATATTATTTGGATTAATCTAAATAAGTGTACAAATAAAAGACCTCCACATACAATAAATTGATATAACAATATTTATGGTTTTAATATTTTTTAAATAATTTTATTAATTCATAGTAAAGATATTAACAAAATACTTGACTATTGATTTTTAAATGATAAAATAATAAATTAGGTACACTTTAATACAATTGAGATCGAAAAAAAAATACACTAGTGCATACTAGTTGTTACAATCAATTAGTTTAATAAAAAGGTAATGTATACAAAAAAAAGTATAAACTAAAATTTACAAACTGGTTTTAATTATTGATTAAAATGAAATTATAATTTGCATTGGAGTTACACAATAAATATTAAACTTAAAAAATTAAGTTAATTAAATAAAATGTTATAAACATTTATCAAACAAAAAATATATAAAAAAACTTTAAAATAAGAATATATATTTTGTTAAATACATTCAAATAATCATAAATTAAGAACTGGTTGGAACAGGACAAAAATTAGATTGGAATAAAAAAAACAGTTATGGCATGAGAAGTAACAAAGATTAATTCTTACATACACTATATACTTGAGTTGGTGAGTTGGATTCATAATACTAACACTTCAGAAATTAAATTATTATTTTTACTGTTAGCACTGTATTGCACATTTAATTATAATTGGCATTTAAAATTCTAAATTAAAAAGCAATGTTAAATTATTTTGGTAACAAATTTATGTCTGTAAAGTATATATGGCTCATTGCTTGTTCTGCTGATATTCTGTGGGATGGATTGCACACTAGAAGTCTTTGTAATAAATCTCGCATTTTAGTCGTTGATTTAGGTACTACCTAAATTAACATTCACAATAAAACAATTAAGCTTTAATTTAATTTAATTTTTTTATTATAACTAACCTGCACAAGAGTCATATTAGGCTGATACATCGGCATTGGTTTAAAATCTGGCAGACTTGTCATGTTAGGCCATGTTTCATCAGTTGGTGTTCCCAACAGTTTAAATATCCGTTTCAATTGATCATCTACATCTGAACCAGGAAATAAAGGTCTTCCAGCATTGGCTAACTCTAAATAACATATTCTTAATAAACTCTGAATGAATACTGAAGTAAAAAAAGTATATACCAGCGAATATACATCCAGCAGACCACATATCAATAGATGTAGTGTAAAGTTTAGCACCAAATAGAACATCAGGAGGCCTGTACCATAAAGTAACAACTTCTGCAGAATAACATTTAACTGGTATTCCAAATGCTCTAGCCAAACCAAAATCAGCTAGTTTCAATTCTCCGTTCTATATAAAACAAATTAAAATGATTTTAATCTGAATAAATTATTTTGTTTTGAGAATTCTAATTTGGTAACCTTGTTTATTAAAAGATTTTGTGGTTTAAGATCTCGATGCAAGACATTGTGACTATGGCAAAACGCTAATCCACGTAATAGTTGGAACCTAAAATCATAAATTTTACTTTAGTTGCATTTATCCAATAAAAAAATAATTGTTTTTTTTTTAATACATACATGAATGATTTCACAACGTTAGGATCAATTTCTCCATTCAAACTATCAAAATACTTTTTCAAGTCTTGATCACAGTGCTCAAAGACAAGTACCAATTTTTTATCACTATGAAGTACATCATATAGTCGAACGATATTCTTATGTTTCAACTCCTTCAGCAAACAAATTTCACGCAAAGCCGACGAAGGAACACCCTAGAAACATATTCTGTTTTAAAAACACGCATCAATTTAATTCTTTAAATATATACCTCATCATCATCATCAAGTCTCACGCGTTTCAGTGCAACGATCTCTAAAGTTTCACGGTTTTTAGCTTTAAACACCGTACCGTAAGTGCCTGTTTATGATTGTTAAAAAAGGTAAACATTAATCATAATATCAATGTACTAATCGCGTATTATGGACTTACCCTCTCCGATCTTATCTAGTTTTTCGTATTTTTGCATATTTTTAATGAAGGATATCAAATGACTTGTACGAGGATAATATTAAAAGCGGTTCATCTTAATCAATAAGACAATAACCTAATCTTATGTACACAAATATTACCAAAAACTAGTAAGCCGATATAAAATATTATGTATAATAATCTGTATTCTATGCGGTACTATATCACAGGACAGATTATATTTATCTATTCTATATCTGTATTTCTGTGACACTGCGACTGCACTTTTTCTTTAGTACATTAAATTTAAAGAATTAAGACTAAAGTATTTAATACCTATTATTAAGTATAGACTATAGAGTATAGAGTTGATACTTGATACTTTGATAGTGTTGTTGATAATGGTTTATCGGAGAAAACAATTTCAATTATCATTTCTCAGGAGTACACATGAGGGGAAGAACTATTTATTAATATTAATTCATAATATTAATTCATAAACTATGATAAAATAGGTTTTGTTTAATTTTTCATGCAAAAATCATATGAAAAAACTAATTTAGTTTTACAGTGATTTTTGATAATGATGAATTAAATTATTCTAATAATTAATTAATCGTAACTCGTGAGCAGAATCAATTTTAAATTTGCTACTATCAAAATTGTATCATTTTCCCAAAAGTGATAACGGGATAATATGAAGATAATATGCTATCTTGAAGTTATGTTGACGCTTAATAAAACAACATAAACCATAAATCGTAATTAATATTTAGTATAAAAATTATTTAATAAAAGTAAAAATTAAGTATAGTGTTAAGGTTTTCAAAATTATTTTAATATTCAAAAGTGCCACGTAAACAATGTACTTTTAATTATATTTTTAATTATTACCACGAGTATAATGTAATATTGTATTAATTTTTTTTAATACATTTGTTTAGAATACATCGATTAAATACTGACGTCAACTTCGGGATTTTAAAGGCTGATGAATCATGTTACCTCCGCACAATGGTGAAATAATGCATCTTAACGTTGGTGGTACTAGGTAAAGAATAACTGATAAAGTCAATATTCTGTAATGATTTAAATTCTTGCATGTACTATATTATAATATAATAATTATATATTGTATGTTGTAATAATAAATTCATCTTCTAACTTAGTAATAGATACTTTAAAAGCATAGTACAAATTGTTACATAATTGTTCAATTTTATTTTTATTTCAAAAACTTCATTAATTTAAGTTTATCTGTTTGGTATATTTAGACATAAATCTAAAACTAAAGATCTTTTTACCTTACTCTTTTACCCTCTTTTACTCAAGCCTTTGATAAAATATGGCACTGCGGCTTTTTTTATTCAAAATTAAACAACAAAATTCTAATCTACAAAACTGCTTAAACCCATTTAGACATACGGGATCCAACTATGGGGCTCAGTCAAACCCTCCAATCTAAACCATATACAAACATTTTAATTTAAATGTCTTCGTCAAATCACTAAAGCTCCTTACTATGTAACTAACCCCACACTCCATCAAGATCTTTCGATCCCTTTCATTCATAAAATTGCCATAACTTTGTATAAAAAATTTTATTTCTGCCTGAAAAACACCATTCAAACCCTCTTGTCAATGACCTATTAAATCCTACCATCCCAGGTGTTCTCGGTAAATTATTAAAGTGTGACTGGTGCTATGACCTACTAGATAAGTAAAATCAACTAGATACAACAACGAAATACCACCAATGGGTGACCATTCTAAACATCTTCAATGACCATATAATAAATTACATCACTTAAACTTATTATAAACTACTTTATAAATTGTATAATAAAAATATTTTATAGCAAAAAAAAAAATTAAACATGAAACATAATTCAAACATATCTGTCTTAGGTTCTCAACATCTCGACAGACATTAACATGGGTGCCAGATTCATTTTTTACTGCTCTATTAAGTGGCCGTATTTCTAGTCTGCGAGATGATACAGGAGCTATATTCATTGACCGTGATCCAAAAGTTTTTGCCATTATTTTGAATTATCTACGAACACATGACATAGATTTGTCCGGCACTGATATTAGAACATTACGCCATGAAGCTGAATTTTATGGTATTATGCCTCTAGTCAAACGCCTTATTCTGTGTGAAGATCTAGAGCAATCGTCATGTGGAGACATTTTGTTTTATAGCATGTTACCAGCTCCAAGTAAATACAAGTTCCAATGTTTTTAATAAAAATATTAAAAGATCATAAATTTGAATTAAAATCTTATTATACAGAGTGATTCTGTTATCAAACAATTATTATTTTAAAATTTATTAATTTTTTTGAAAAATCTTATTTAAATTATTTTCAATCCAAATAAAACAATGTTTAATATTTTTTACTGTTAGAATTTTGTATTTTTTTTACTTTTTTGTATAACTATATGTATAAATTTTTAATTTCATATTTTGAAGCAGAATATTTTTTAATATTTTTTGGAGTATTTTAATATGTCAAAATTGAAATTTGAACTAGTTTATGAATCATAATTATTTAAAGTATTCAAATTATCTAGTTTATTACAATAATATTCATTTTATTACATTAAGTTTGACAATTTAGCATTTTATTTATGAAATATTTCTTCTTATGATTAGCTTGATGTTTATAAAATGTTTTTCTGAATAATATTCTCAGACCCTCCTATGCAAGAATCCGAGATAATTAGTAATGCAGCTAAAGTAGATGATCAAACAAGGCCTGGTTCAATAGTTCGTGTTCCTGAGCCAGCACCCCCACCAAATTCACCATCTTCAATACCTCATACTCATGGATATCAAAGGTTGGTAAATGTTAAGTATTCTAACTTAGTACATTTCAGTATTTCATTAAGCAACAGTTTTAAAATTAAGGATTACAATATTAATGACAACAATTTTTTCTAGTCGTTGTCATTCTCGTAATTCATCTTTGGACATATCTCGAGTTACTGTAAATGGTCGTGGGTCAGTTATCAATGGACGTGGCAACGGTAACAGTGGACACTCTCGTGCAGCTTCACTCGGTAACCATGTACCCAATCACCATTCCAGAAACTCATCTGCTGATCTCAATAAATATATTAGAAATGATGCATTAAACTTGGTTTTTGGTTATAATCAAGGTTCAAACTGGGCTGACCCATTGCGCGTTCAAATCATCAAAGCTCACCATAATTGGATTGTAGTTGCTTATGCTCATTTTATTGTTTGCTACAGGTAAATAAAAACTTTTTTATTTATTAGATGTTTGTAGCAACAGATTTTATGCTATAGTAAACTTAAAATATGCTCCAAAAATCAATAAATATGATACGCACCAAAAGTTCTTATAATTATACTCTAAATATTTAATCAAAATAATAATAAAATATATTAATTAGTAACTAATTAGTTGCATTTATTTAGTCTTTAAAAATATATCTAATATAACTATTTATTTATCTGCACAATTTTTCCACTTTTATATTGGTATTATAGACTACTGCAGCTATGTATAGGTTATTAGCTTAAAAAACAATAAATTTATATAATAATGATATATAATATATAAGATTTACAAATTTCTATTTTTATTTATAAAATATTAAAATACATCTTATATTAGCATTTAACTAAACAAAACTAAATTTAAATTTAAAAATGTATTTTATGATAAAAAAATAATTACAAAGAAATTTGAGCTACTGTGACAAATATACAAAATAATAAATAATAAATTTTGGATGAATAAATTTAACTTAATTTTTTATAATCAACTCAGATGCATAACTGAATTAAGCAATACTTGAGCATTAGATTTAATATTTTTATCGGCCCTTAACAACATTAGGTATCCAGCATAGTTGCTCCTATTTAAAAAAAAAAATGATGTGACCAAGTTTTTTAGATATATCTATTTAATTTTATAGTTAATTTGGGCAACTAGTAATAACTTAGATTGCATAGTAATAACTAATAACATAAATTACCATTTTAAATTTATACTTCTATTTCAATCTCTAAAATTACAACTTAAACAAATAATAAGAGTATTTAAAAAAAATATATAATCAATATCTTCTTAGTAAAAATTTTGTTAGAATTCCTTAAAATTTTATCAAAGAATGAAATTCACAAATTCTCTATAAATGATTGAGAAAATAATTAGTTTAAAATTGCTTAGCATGTCTAACACAAAATATAATAAATTTATGTTCAAAAGAATCCATTTTACTCTATTATTTTTATTATTAAAGAGGATTGTCTCATTATAAAATTTAAAGGTAAGAATATTATCTAGGGTTCTATAATCTACATTGGCTTTTATAACTATTTTAATTTTGAAACAAAATTTTACAAAAAAAATTACAATTTCATGGATGTTCCTAATATTTATATACTGTATATAAATAATTTTAACTCAAAATTTGTTGATAAATATTTTCTTTGATTCAAGAATGTTGATAAAATACTGAAACGTGCAAAATAGATTAAAAATTATTTCATAAAATATATACTAGGAATAAAAATAAGTATGCTTCAAACATGTTTTGTAATCAATTCACAACATTATATAACATATTTTGTGTTAACTTAGCTCCCAGAAAAATTAACTAACATATAAAATCCAATAAATCCACTCCCTTAATGTAAGAATAAGATTATTTTTAATAACAGCTTAATACCATTTCTTGGATGCTTAAATTATTTTTGTTTTATTTTTTTTTTAGATTTTTCTTTTAGTAGCTTAAAAATAACATTATTATTTACTATAACAGGTTAAAAGATTCAAGTGGTTGGCAACAAGTTTTTACATCACCACATATAGACAATTGTATAGAACGAATAGCAATTAATGCTAAAATGAATAGTCAAAATGGTAATTCTGATGGATCCTCTGTTATGGTTGCTATATCATATGGAAATCAAGTTCGACTTTGGGGAGTATCAGAACAAGGATCTCGAACTAATATAGGTATTATTTATAAATTATATCATATTGTTTTAAAAATGGATTAAGTTAAATGTATAAATAAATATGTTTAGGTACATTCAATTTAAATGTTCGTGTCGAGCATTTATTTTTTATTGGTAGTCAACTTGTTGCTTTATCTCCTACTGGTAAAATAGGGGTTTGGCATGCAATGACTCAACATTGGCAAACCCAAGATGTAGTGCCAATCGCATCATTCGATACAGCCGGTTCATTTCTACTTCTTGGTTGTAATAATGGTTCAATATATTATATTGGTAAAAATTTTATACAAATTTTATGATTACAATAAAGATCATAAAATATAATTGATTTACAATTTATATATGATTTAAAATTAATATACTTTTTCAGATATGCAAAAATTTCCATTGCGAATGAAAGACAATGATTTGCTAGTTACTGAGCTCTATAGAGATGCATCTAATGATCCAATCACTGCTATTTCTGTTTATTTAACGCCTAAGACAAGTAAGTCTTTAAAATAATAATATGATTCTTAAAATAAAACCATAATTTTTCCATATTTCTTTCCGTGCACTATGTTTTATTACTTAGTAAAATTAATAAAATGCAATCTAAAAAATAAAAATAAATATGGAATATTGTTTTGATAATCTAAAATAAAAGTAATGTAATATACATTATATTCAGTAATTTATTATTCTTACAATTTAGGTAGATTGAATTTATTTTTTATTTTTTTTTTGTTATCAACTTTTTAGTCAACACTGAATTATTATAAAACTATTCAAATAGGTTTCAATATAAATAAGCAATAGTCAATGTCAAAACTATTGTATGTACTATGCCTCTATAAGTCCAAAACCAATATTAAAATTTTAAATTTTACTGCATATAGTCAAGTTTATAAATGTATATAAAAATTTTAAGTCTCCTCAAGAATTCATTTTTTATAATTAGTTGGTAAAATTAAAAATTTTATGAAGTTTTACCTATAAAGAAATTTGCAAACTTTTGTGATAAATTAATTTTTTGAAAATTTGATTTTTAATACTTTTTTTAAAGAAAGTCAAGATTAGATTTTTGATATTTTTTAATTGGGATATGAACAACTTATGAGAAACTCCATATTTCATTTTCAAGCTTATTTACTTAAAAACAAAAATTTTATCTTTCTTCAATTAAAAAAAATGTTTTAAATTTAAAATATTAAATAAATAACATCAAAAAACTAAATAATTTAATAATAATTTTGAAAATTATTGAATTTACAATAAATTTTTGTTAAAAATTTTAAGACTATAGTTATTTGTTTTTGAGTTGAAACAACAGACAAAAATTTGCATTAAGCTTCTTATTTTTCCTAGTTATTTCTAAAATTACTGCAAAGTTTTATTTTTGGTTTCTCTACCCAACGTCCAACAGAAAAAACAATTTTTAAAGCCAATACATAGCTCTTCTCAGAATTTAAAATGTACATCATAAGACGTTAAGTAACCTACATTATTTTTTAATAAACATTTCATAAATTAACATTATAATGTGTGTAATACCGAATACGTACTACGATACCCAAATATAAAATATATACTAATTAGAATTTATAAATTATAATTTAAGTTATGTAACCAGGCTAGTTATATGATATTTGTAACTAATTATTTAGATGGTATGATTTCTTCTTTGATGACTTCTGTTACTATTTCTTGAGATGGTGTGGTTATTGTTTTTGAGGTATAAATCTTTACATTTGTCATACTATCATCTATCATTTGTGTATCTGGTATAGACGGTACAGTAAAAACATTTTGTAATTTGTCTTTCATGTTGTGTGACATATTCATAAATTCATCAGTTGCTCCCTTGGCAAAATCTATAAATTAAAATATAAGTATTATTACTATTGAATTTTAAAATATTTAATATTCTATGATAAATATATGATGTTGCTAGTGTGCTGCCATAAGGCATTTCCTCATCCACATATCTTGGCTCCTTCCCTATGGCTTATAATATCATATTTACTCATTGTACTTTTTAGTAATTCTTATAGGTTGTAAATTGTCTTATCTTAAATAAAAAAAATAATATATAATATATATATATATATATATATATATATAGTAATATTTAAATGTATTACGTAAGGGGATCGGAAATCTAGTAATTTACAACAGCTGCTCTACCAGGTCCATTAATTTAAAGACAAAATTATAAAATAATTTTATAAAAATATTTGAGTTTTATTAGATTATATACTCATTTAGTTATTGTGAGAAATAATTTTGTGACATTTAAATTTAAGACTAAATTATTTTAAATTAGTATCTTGAAAAAACAAAATATATTATTCTATTAAATTTCCATAGAATGTGCATATTAGTGTTAAATATGCTAGCAATGCTATAAACATTTGTGCAAATGATTATTTACTACATTAAATTTCCCAATGGCATAATTGCGGGTACAAACTTTCAATCCATAAAAATGATTTTGAAAATGTTGGTACAGTGATAGTCCATACATTATTATCTTGTAATTGGTCATCTGCTGATTGTGCAATCTATTTGAACAATCCAATATGTTAAAATTGTATTATTATACTTTGCCATTAGTAAATATAGTTTTGCATGAAAAATATATAAATAAATAATAATTTTAAAAGTATGTAATTTATATTCTAGGTAATATAATATTTGTACTATATTGAAATTTATTGTTATCATACTTGAAAAATTGTGCTAGCTACCAACAGAAATACTAATATGTATTTCATTTCATTCAGTTATTACTTAAAAAATTTTTTCAGTATCAAATGAATCAGAAAGTTTATGTAATACTAAACAATTAATTTACCATTTTACTTCTATATTTCTTTCAAGTGTTCTAATATTGAAAAATTCAAATAAATACTTAACACTTGTGTATACATTCTATCAATTTTACTTAATTTGTCAATCATCTGTCAATGCATTTTTTGACACTTTAACGTCATAAAATCGTAATTTTAATGGTTTAAATGATTTTTAAAGTGTATATTTTTTTCTAACTGACAAATAATAATAAGGTATTTACATTGATGAAATATTTAAATTTTAAATAATTTTTGAAATATGAAATAAAACTTACAATAATATATTGAAATATACCCAACTAATTTTGTAAAAGACTTGAATAATGTAAATTTAATTGAATAAATATAAATTAACAGAATCTAAAATATATATTTTATTTTATTCAAAATTAAACAATTAACTACTATTGTCTATTGCTACAGAATTACAAACTGAAGGTCTCCAATTCACAGCTTGTGAGCCAATTCCATTATATTAAGTTTTCTAAACTGGCCTGTCAAGTTGACAAATAATTTTTTCTTAACTCCAAAATTATAATTTTTCTTTTTTTTCATCTCGTTACCTCTCTACTTTTTCTAAAAAAACTTTGGCCTCCAATATAAAAATGAAGTCAGATACAACCCACAGCAAAAAGAAAAAGGTTGGATACCTTGGTATAGATTATAATGAATTACTGTTGTATGATGTATAGAATTTAGTTATGGGTTCTAACAAATATTTATGTGAGCTTTGAATGAAACGTGTATAAGAGACAAATTAATAAAACAAAGTATATTTTATTTAAGAAAAATATAAAATTTTATATTCAAAAAATGACATTACTTAAATTATTTTTACTATTTACATTACTTCCATCAAAAATATTAAACAAAAAAATATTTTGAAAATGTTATTGTACAATTATTATGAATTACGGATAACAGCAAATGAAACAATGATTTATAAATCAAGTATCTTAGTGTTTATGAAACCACAACTACTGATAATATTATAAAACTGTTTATCATTAACTCTAATCGATTAATAAATCAATTAATTTTATCTATTTCAGTATGTGACCAAAATGTTCTTTGATTAATAAGAATCCTTAATTATACCCATAGATGACATTGTGATTTGTAATTTTGTAGGTATAATTTAAGGATATATAATTATTTTGCTCATCCTATAATTAAACATAATATCTATATGTATCTAGCATATTATGGTTTATTATGTATTCAATTTTAATACATTCATAATATATTATGAGAATCGTTATTAATAAATTAATACATTTAATTTTAGTCGTTTTTAACGTTTTTACAACACTTACATTTTTAATACTTAATCTATATTTATTTTATTAAATATTATAAACCTATTTAGTTACATTTAGTTAAATATCAAGTAATTATATAAGTCTACAATTTAAAGTGAATGTAATTTTTTTTAGGTGTTAGTGGAAATTGGATTGAAATAGCATACGGTACAAGTTCAGGTACAGTGCGTGTGATTGTTCAACATCCAGAGACTGTAGGACACGGTCCTCAACTGTTTCAAACATTTACTGTTCACCAAAGTTCTGTTACCAAAGTATGTATTTTAAACATTAATTTTAGATAATATGTTTGTTGTTGTTTTTTAATTGTTATTTTTATATAGGTTACACTATCAGAGAAATTTCTTGTCTCCGTTTGTAGTGAATACAATCATGTGAGGACTTGGAGTGTAACTAGATTTAGGGGTATGATTTCTACACAACCAGGTTCTACACCAGTTGCTTCATTTAAGATACTGTCACTTGAAGAAGTCGAACCCTGCATTAGCTATTGCGCTGGAAACGATTGTGGTTAATAATTTTTTATATGTTAGATTATTTATTCCATTAATTTGTTCAAGTTAAAAATTAAAATGAATGAATATATTATGTTATTTTTGTTGTTCTAAAAATAGGACCATATGGTGAGCAAGATGATGAACAAGTATTTGTTCAAAAGGTTATGCCCGAAACTTCTGAATTATTTGTTCGTCTTGCGTCTAATGGTAAAAGGTAAGATTCTTATAATTAAATACTTAATGCGTTTTATTATTATAGAAGTATAGAAAAATTCTAAAGATATAGGTCCTGCTTGATTTGACGATTTACTTAGTAAAATACAATGTTATTATAACCATGGGCGATTTTAAGTCTTTTTTTTTTAGGAGGAGGGGATTGAATTATAAATTATCAAATGTAAACTAGTTAAAAATTCAATATTTTTTCAACTTTATATAAATGTAAATATTTGATTATGACATTAACAACTCATTACTAGTAAATAAGAACTGCAAATATCTTTGTTTTATTCCAAACATATTATGATGTTTTTAACAAAACTATACTTATACAAGTTCACCCTTTCAAATTAAATGTCCAACACATCTTAACTATTTAAACGATCATTACCTATGGACTGTAGTCGAACAAATCTATATAAAAACATCTTCTCAACCCACTAAATGATGTTTTCATTGTGCATGTTATTAGATATAGTGATAAAAAACATTAAATATTTAAAAAATCTCAGGATAATATTTATATTGAGTCATTAAATAAACAAACAACATTTTATCAATCCATTGCTGATACAAAATATTAGATTCCTCTTTAATATTTTTAATTTAATAGTATTCACTAATAAAAAAATTTTTTAAAGACTTATAAGGTGATTTTTATTATTAATTTTTACTTACTAAAAATACTGTTCTATTTGAAGGTGAAAATGAAAATTATTGTAAAAGAAAGTTTGAAATAATTTTTAACAGAATTGGTTCCATAGTTTAATTAGTTTTTTGTTTGGATGTAATTTTTTCTGCTACAAATTAGAAGTTATAAAAAATGTCATTGATAATTAAATAACTATATTTTTATTTGCAATTAGGTTATATTGTGGTTATATTTATTTAGTTATAAGTTCACATGATAGGGTGAGATGGTAATACATTGTCTAGCACATAAATATAATATATTTTTATATTTTTGTAAGTATAGTGTACTAATCAACTCATCAAAAAAAGTAGCTTGCAATAGCTAATACTGTACTTATTTGCAAATACAAATGGCTTAATTATTAAATTATTATTAATTACATAATAAACTATTAAATTAGAGGTAATACACAATAATTGTAAATTTATATAATGGTTGTTCTGGATCCATTGTCTTTTACTTTATAATTTTCTATTAAATAATATTTTGTTGTTTTTATTTGCAATTTTTTAAATATTATTATTTTTAATGATTTGTAATTATCAAAATATTTACTTTTGGTCTCAAGATTGACATAATATAGATTTTAGTTTTTAATTGAAATATATAAAATCAATAATAACAAATTATGATGTTCTAAACATTTATCAAGCCATATAACATAATATTTATGTATGAAATATTGAATAATAACATTTATAATATATAATTTATCTTATTTATTTTATCCATTTTTTATTTTAATGAATATAAAAATTACCATTATATTTTATCATAATATACAAAATACAAATAATGACCATTGACTAATATATTACATTATTTTAACTATGATGTGATTTTTTGAAATTATCTAATACGAGAGATGTTTTATATTTTAAAATACATTGTTGAGTTTTTTCAATATCATAGATATCTTTAATAAAAAGACCACTTTTAAGTTCTATTATTTGTATACATCTAATTTTCAACATGCTGATAAATTAAAAACATTATAAAGTTTTCTATTTTAAATAGTAAATAATAATAATTAATAGACAATCACTAACGTTAAAAATAACAAAAAATTCATTGTAGAATCATAAAAACTGAGAGTTAATTCAGTTTCTGTATTATTTATTCAAAGTTTATACAATTGGCAATATCGTTATATAACTGGGATGGCCAACTTGTGGCTTGTGAGCCATATGTGGCTCTTGTCATTTGTCAGATGTGGCTCGTGTCATAATTATAAAATCAAAATTTTCTTATTATTATTATAATTTATTTTAATTTTAATTTTTGAAGTATACATTTATAAAAAAATATTAAATTGTGTGAAATATATCTATAAACATTTAGGCTCTTGGTAAATATTGTATTTATCTATGTAGTCCACGAACCTATTCATATTAACCTCCCCTGTTATATAATAATATTGACTTGAAGCATCAGCATCACCGTGATATATATTTGCTAAAACCCTTTATGTATATTATAAAAACAATAGTAAAAGTATTAAATTATTTACAAATATACTTTTTTATGGTTAAGCTCATCACTTATTGTGGCTCTGTGTATTGCCAATTGTCTGTGTATCTGGTTTTTAATATTTGTTTGTTTAATTTTCAGAGTGTGTATAATTCGAGCAGTAGATTGTACGATAATTACTTGCTTTTGCGTGCATGAATGTGAAGGCTCTAGTCGTATGGGATCGAGACCTCGAAGATTTATACTGACTGGACACTGTAATGGAGCTATTCAAATGTGGGACTTAACCACAGCTTTAGATTTAGCCAACAAATGTCTGCGTGAGTACAAAAATTCATATTTATTTTGGGCTTGTAAGTTCATGTATTTACTTATCAATTATCATCTTTCTATGGTGTATTAATGCTAGGTAATATAGAAATTTGACAAAATTCAATTAATACAATTTTATTTTATATAACCATGCCATTTTTACATTTAAATAGTATTTAAGATTTTTAAATTTTTTAAATATTTATACAGTACTTATTAAAATATAATTATGTTTTGATGGAAATAGGTACCAATATTTTTGATATCTATCAAAAACAAAATTTATTCAAAAACTTTAAAATTAATATTTACAATCAATAAATATATAATCTATATATAGACAATTAAACAATTCAAAATTGGATGTTAACATAAAATATGCATTTATCAATACTAATTTATAAATTTAAAAATAATAAAAACATTTTTTTTTCTATATATTTTACTAGTTTTTATAATATAATTAAAGATTTTTTTTTTATTATGTATTTAAGTATATATCTAAACATTTTTATGATCATAGTCACCTACAAATTTAAATATTTTTTAATACTCTTAAAATACCCAAAATATGAGCCTTGTATATAATATATTATAGCTGATTATACCACATAATCAGCATTTATAATTAACTTAATAGAGAGAGATAGTTTCTTCATATACATTTTTTCTACTATGTAATACTTCCTCCTTTAGTAAAAATATTTTAATTTGCCTAAGACCTCATTAGCTTACCATTTCTGTAATATTATTTTAATTTTACCAATAATAACTAACTTTATTTTTTCTCACGTCAGAACCTATCCAAAATGGTGGTCCGACAGCTGAAGAACTTTTACGATTACTTGACCAGTGTGATCTGAGTAACAGCCACTGTTCAACACCTAGTATATCTCCATACCCAGGAATGTTGATCTCAAAAGGAAACACAGCTAGATTAAAGGCATCTAATGTAGCCTTTCTTAATCAGTCTCAACAAACAGATGCATCCACTTCAACATCATCCTTGTAAAATTATCTTAGGTATACAGATTGAAGTAAATTATATTACATTTTTCAAGGTCAAATGCAGATAACTTTTTTATAAATATTTATTTAAAAGAATTTTGAAAATCATGATAGATATTAAATAATTTTTTGTGTTTTAATTAATTTCACTACATTTAACTATTTGTTTCAAGTAAAAACGTTATATTTTATGTTTTAAATGCTTATATGGATAGGATATTATATTGTATAGGTTCAAACTCAATTACATTTTGGTTGTAATTTCTATTTGAAACAGCGACTATCAATTGATGATCGTTATCCTAGAAATGCATAACAAAATATGTTAACAATAGATGCAATATAAAGTATTTATTTATTTATAAATAATATGGGACCAATTACCTTTTCAGTAGGTAATAAATGATAATTTATGCGATTCAAATTCTAAATTTACTTTGTATATTTAATTAATGAAAACTAGTAGTTTTCTCTATACGGATGAAAATGTTTTAATCAATTTACACTTATAAATTATCGTTTAGTTTAATTACATTATTATAAAATTGTATTCACATTATGTTTATTTTGGCCTATTATTGTGGCATTGTAGCATTTATAAACTCAAAATAATGCTTAATAATAACAATATATTTGATTAAGTTTGTTAGAACTTTAATTTGTAACATAATTGTCATAATTAATTTTGCTAAATGGTATGAGCAGCAAAATAAATAAATTGATTGTACAAATATCCCAATAATTTGTGTTTGTCAGAAAATCATTAACAAATTACAAAAAAATTAAAATGTATTTTGACATAAAAAAATAAATATTATATCTGTATTATTGTGTCTTAGGTCATAATGTGGATAATGAAAAAATTGTATTTGGATTAAACGGGCTACTATAACAAGCGATTTTTAATCATTTTTTTCAAATTTATTGTTATTAATTACTCTTAATGTGATATTATTAACAGATTTTGTGATACTTTCAATTACATATAAATGAATTATGTAATATATTAAATGAGTTTCACTAAACCACCAATTAGGTATTATGAATATTATTATATTAATATTTAAAATTAAAATGTACATATTATATTAGATTACAATGATACTTGATTAGTTGAGTTCCATATTAAAATTTATAATTTATTTCATTAATTAACAGTACCTATTTAAGTTTCATTATTTTTTTTATTATTTACTATAAAATATTTTATATTTATAAAAATGATTGATGATAATTAATATTAACTATATAAGTATAATAATACTATAGAGCTCATAAGTAAGCATTAAAATCATACTTTTAGAGATAAATTCTATTTTTACTTTTTGAACTATTGCCTGTTTTAAGAATTGCAATTGTATAAGCTATATGATCATAAAATTCTCATATTTATTGTCTAATTTACACATTAACGTATTTATCTGCAATGTTTGCGCATTGCACTTATGAAAACTATTAATTAATAATATTTTTTTTCAAGTGGTTGAGTAGTATTTGTTTGTAAAATTGATTCAATTGTTTGCAATATTAATGTATTTAACAAATTCACATAGACAAGAAATGATTTTTATTTCTTGTCACTGCAATATTTATAGAGTCAACAAACACTAATGATTACTATTATTTAAATAACACCTAGTAGTGTTTAGTTTTTATATTAATTGTTATACTACACTTATCAATATATTTTACATATTCGTGTGGCTTCACAAGTTGTTATTAAAATGATTTTATTATATTCTTATTGAACATTTGTGAAAATATAATAATAAATATTTTTATATTATTTTTATCTATCAATTTATCATATTGTGTTACATTGTATATTATTTTATAAAATCTATATCATTTATTATAATTATTAATAAAAATATTGACGATCAAATCTCTGTATTTTTAATATATATATATATGTGTGTGTGTATTTAGCTTATTTTTTTTCTTTTGAGTGTCGTAATTTTTGTATAAATGTTAATTTTATCGTACAAAATTAAATAATACTAAGAAAAGAATTAAAATAATTTACAATTATACTTTACAGATTTTTGTACTTGAGAATTTTGAAAAATTAATACTTAAAAGTACAATCTGTATGAAAATTCTACTACTGCTGCATTACAAAATTAAAAAAAAATTATTTTCTAAAAACAACATCAACTAATGGCTGTATAACTTATAAACTATGAATCTCCGGTTTTACATGGAATCGAATAATAGAACTCGTGATAATGCTATTTCATCCATATCTATATGTGTTTAACTTGGTTTTGGACAGTTATCATTTTTTCAGTTGCTTATGTTCTACAGTTAAATATCTTGGTTAATTTTAATTCTATTCATTTATGAAATTCTAACAATTTTATGTTAGATTTTCTTTTAAAAAATAAAATATTTATGAATGGTTTGAAAACAATTGTATTAAACAAATAGTTACAATTTTAAAACTATTAAATAAAATTATTATAGGTAGTAAACTAGTTTTATAAACTATTTTTATTATTATTAAACTGATTAAAATTTAAGTATTATGATTTTGATTTTAATCTCTGCTTATATAGAAAGTAAATTAAAATATTGGCAGTATGGAAAAACTGATCCAGATTGCAGAACAAAACATATTTAGGTAACGAGTAAGATTTTTAATTATTGTTAATGTGGGATTGTATAGATAACTATGAACATTTTATATCCGTAAGTAGCATTTTTAACTCAATAAATCACATACTATAAAAATTATTATCTTCTGCATTGTACTTAAATCAAGTAACCTTGGCTTGATAATATGAACTTATTATATTTAATAGTACCATGATGAATAAACAATTAACACATATAAATGTTAATAATGCATTTTATTGTTATTATTATTTCATAATAAAATGTTCATACAAAGATAATATCAATTTAAGATTGTATTAGATATATTAATAATATTACTAATGTTAAATTAATATTTGTGGTCTTTTCATTTTAAACTTACATAAATATGTAGAATAAATTGAATAGCATTTTTTATAGTTAGAATGTAGTTATTAAAATTTGCATTAATAAAATCTACTTTTATTGTTTCTAAGTATAATGTTAAGCATTTTGTACAGCGTTATTTAACTGGTTCATGCCACTTTTTATCAAATTTCCAGCTGCAGACTCCATTTGATCAAAAGAATCTTTCAAATCAGATGCTTCGTTCTCTAATGAATCAGGTGCTATATCTGGCATATCTGGCATATCTGGCATATCTGGCATATCTGGCATATCTGGCATATCTGGCATATCTGGCACTACTCATTGAAAAATAGATAAGTTAGAAATTAATATTTAATCATTTATTACATAATCCTTGTAATTATCTTTCTTACTAAATATAATAATTTCTACTTTTATTTACTTATAGTTGTATATTAACTTTTAGACATTGAAATAATCAAATTAAAAGAATTTTTAACCATTAAATTGAATCACATTAAAAAAAAAAAAAATGATTGTACCAAATAACCTAACCTTAAGACAGCAAACCTTGTTAAATGTTACAGGGACTATAATGGAAATGATCAGGCCAAAACTAAATAGAACTACATTCAAATTAGTAGAAAAAAAAAAATTGGAAATAGTTGAAGTCCTCAGAGGTAGTAGGTTAAATTGGCTTGCTGGTTATATATGGAGGTCAGAGAGGCCCATTGCCTTGGGCTAAAAATGGAAACTGAACATAAAACAGCCAAGACAGCGGCCCAAATAACGATATTTAGATATAATTACCTAAAGAATTATCAGTTATCACTGTTAGGAGAAGAAAATGGAGAATAAATTAGTGAATGAAATTGAGAGTTGCAGGTGTGAGATGATAGGTAATTGCGCAATGGATTACAGAAAACTGTAGAAAGTCAAGAAGTTGGTGCCTGTCACTTGCCTAATGTGAATTTTAATGTACTAATTTATATTGTATGTATAGGGAACATTCAGACTTGTATGAAAATGCATTTAAGTATTTAACTATTGAGCCAAGTACCTTTAGAAAAGTTGTATTGCCATTTTTATAGTTATGGACCTGATCACTGTTAGAAAACTATTAAATACAATTTTAAAAATTGTGACAATCAAATATAGATACTTTGCATAATATGAATAAATGAGTTGAACTTTTATAGCTATATTTTAAAAGTTGAGTATAAATATATTTTGTAATTGTGCACTCTAGTCTCAAAATATAAAATAGTACTTTATAAGTGAAATATTCTTAGGGATATAAATTATGTACTCACTATCATTTGGTGTTAATGCATTCATTATCGAATGGTAAGTGTCTGCAGTATAGTCTATTGCTTGATTCACTTCGTATTTTAAATCTTCATATAATGTATCTGGAGCACAATATCCTCGTCCAATCTAATTTAACAATAAAATATTTTATATGATTGTATTGATGATTTGTATATTTATAACAAAAAAAAAAATTTATCTTACATGGCAAGAAATACTGATCAACAACACAAACGCCAAAGCAAACTTCATGATGATTATTGGAATTATCACTCTGTCACTTGTAAATCTCAAATGAATCTGAGAGTATGTATGACATTTTGCTGTAGCTGTATATATAGTGATATGAGTATCTGTTTAAGGTATTTTTAATATTCAAAGACATGATTACATTCAGCATTTATGTACATAATTTCTGAATACAAACTATAATAATTTAAATATGCTTAAGTATATATACTTTTTAAATCAACAATCAATGTCGTGTAAGATTTGTACTAAAGATATTTACCTGACATTACTATGCAATGATCTAGATATAAACAGCTCTTTATCTCAGTATTTCTCAACCGGTGTTCTGCGGCACACTTGTGTGTTGCGAAATGGCTGTAGGTATGCTGCTACCATAGTGGTACATACAACATGCCTATAGTGTTATTAAGTATTAATTTTTAATTACATAATATATTAATAATAAAAAAATAAAAATAAAAATGCCTTTTTTTACTTCATATTATTTTATTACTATAGTGTTCCATTACACCGTATAGTTATAAGAAATGCACTGTGATCATATAAAGGTTGAGAACCACTGTTCTATCTTTTTGTGTGTGAGAAATTCATATTCTTACAAATTGTATTTTGTGTACATTTGTATAAAACATAAGTAGATACACCATTTAACATCTAATAATGGTTATTAAAGTTTTTAAGAATATTTAAACAGATATATCAACAAAAATAAATATTTTGCATTACTACCTATTTATTAATAAATTTAATTATTAGGTATAGCATTAAAATTTCTGTTTTTGACAAATTATTCTAAAAAATTAATACAAATATTACTTATTATGTTATATAAAAACATATAATACCCTGTTAACGTGAAAAATAGTGTCTAAAACAATAATAAAATTGGGTAAATTGATTTTACATATTTTTAACTTTTTTCCTTGTCAACATCAACAAAATTATAAAATAATATTTTGATCATTATTTTTATAACTTACTTCAGATATCATTCTAGAGAATTTTATTTTTATTAAATTGATTAATTATATATTTGTACTCATTTTGGCAAAATTAAAGTAATACTATATTTATGATAATATAAAATAATTATTATTTATTATTACTATTAAAAAGGCAGAATTAACAATTGACTTAATTTCTCTTCTTTAAAAAAATAAAAATTATTAACATCACTATATATGCATTTAATTAATAATTAAATTAAATTTTTTGTAAATTAAGTTTCATTCTTTGGATCCTTTAGTTTTAAAATTATGCAATAAAACAAAACAATAAAGATTAACAATCAAATTATAAACTATTTAATGTAATTAATGATCATATCTTAGGCATTATGTTATATGATATTTAAATTTATTCAGAAATTTTCTTAGTCTTGATAGGTACTTAATTTTTTAAAAAAATTATAAAAATGTAACTTTGTAAGATTATAACAAAAAGATTTTGTTCAATATAATATATAAAATTAAATTCCAATTCCCGTTAAACTATAATTATTAACAAATTAAATTCACATACCATTACAACCAAGGGTGCTCATATGGGGGAGTGGAGAAAGGGAAGAACCAGTCCCCCTCCTGGAAAATGTTGAAAAATTGTTTACACAAGATCTACAATGAGTGAGGTTAGATTTAATGGATTATGCATGATAAGCATCAAGCCTGGGCACAGTTTAAGATAATTTTTAACTGAGTTAAGTTAAATTGATAAAATACATTTTGAAAAGTTAATAGTTAATCTAATTTTTTTTTTTTTAACTCAATTAAGTTATAAGTTATATGGAAATTTTCAATTAACTTATTAACTTAAGTTAAGTTATTATTATTATTATTATTTTTTTAATATATAAAATAGCCAGTAAAATAGTTTGAAATTATAAAATTCATAAACATTATTAAGCCCAAAAAATAGATTTACTATACATAAAATAACTAAATTTGGAAAATTAAAATACAGGTGAAAAGAATTAAGTAGTAGGTACTAAAAGATAAATAAAATAAAATATAATTGTTTAATTTATGAAAACAAATTTTATACAGTTTTAAACAAGTAAATGATATCAAAATGGAATTTTTTTTTTTTTAATGTACTTAATTTAGATATGATTAAAAGTAACTTGTTATTTATTAAGTTAATACCAATAAAAATCAGTTAAGTTAAAAATTAAGTTATTGAAAATTAATTTAAAAAAAGTTAAGTTAAAAATTTAAAATTAACTTAACTTTAACTTTTTAACTTGTTTATGTCCAGGCTTTATAAGCGTACATAGGGAAAAAATTGATGATAAAACAAATGAATACGTAGAACAAGTAATAAATATATTTGGTGTTAAAAAAAAGAAATTTACAATTTTTATTTGTAAATCAATATTTTATTAAATTTATGTTATTAATTAAAATGAAAATTCAATAAATAACTTTTATGGTCAATTGGTTAAATAATTATTATTTCATAATCTTCTAGTTTAATATATAAAAAAATAACAGTATAATTTTAAATTGTAAACCCTTTCCTATCACATGGACATAATTAAAATGTTGTCCCCCCCTTGAGAATTTTTCTATGGGCGCCCTTGATTATAACTAATCATCACCTAACTTGCAAGTTTTTCAAGGATTTTCTTTTTTTTTTCAGTATTAATACCAAAAGGAATTGTTTTGGCTAAAAACAAGGATGTTTGTTTTATTAATAACTTATTTAAAAATTAAATTATAAATAATTACCTATATGTGATATTTTAAAAGTTATAATTTATTACAAAGATTGAAATCGCTCTTTAGAATTTTATAGAAACTGAATTATGTTACATGACTACAGGTTAACTTACAAATTTTTGCACTAGACTTCTATTCACTTCCTAAAAATGTATTCAATTCCCATCGATTTCAATTTCATTTTATTTTTTTCAATTTTTCATAGCTCGTAAAAAATTTTGAATTGTAAGTTTAACCTAACTTGATGTAAGCTACCTATAATGTAATGCACTACCTAACAAATATACGCCTAGGTTCAAAAGAATATAGCCTTGTCGTTTTTGTTGTTAACCATACATTTTAATTTAATAAAAATTATTTTCAAGATTATGGTTTAATTATGCGTTTCATTTGATGAAATAATTAACTGTAGCTTAAAAATAAAATAAAAAAAATACCTAAAAAGTTAAATAGTTTTGATACATCAAAAATTGTATCTATGGTAAGTTCAGATTTATTATTTTATAAAAATTGTCCATAAAAAAAACGACACTCTTTCCTTTATAGGGTTTTTTTTTATAAAACTGGGTATAATTTCATAAGGTGCTGGCTAGTCACTTCATCATAGAACACATGTATACGTATATAATACCAAAAAACTATAATGGAAAAAAAAATTTGTTAATCTTTTTTTATAATAAAATCAGTGTAATTATATACTACGCTTTCTGCCGCCATTTAACATTTCTGGCTATGGCTCTACAATGATTTATCATTAAATTCTATATTAACAAATTAGTTACCTACAATAATTTATAATTATCTGCTCAATGATGAGTTATCTATAAACTTTAAACTTTCTATACAGTATATACTAAACAGCGACTAGCGCATCCTCGATTTTAAGTTCTAAACACGGTCATGAAGGTACCTACCTATATTGATTTTACAATAATGTGTGTGTGTGTGTGTGTGTGTATATACATATAAACACGAACCAATTATCATAATTTATAATAGAAAAAATATTTTGATTTTCAACTGCTTTTTTGTTGGGTAAGTGAATCTAATTAAAACTTTTGAAAGGTTTAAATAAAAAATCCCTATCACATTTTAAAAAAATCGAGAAAAGCAAATGGAAACCATAAATTTTTACACAAAAACCTAACCTAAATATTATTATTTATCATTATATGTATATATATATATGTATGTATGCCTGTAACTTATGAATATCCTTACTACAAAATATTTAAGTTTTGGTCTAGTTAGATACCTATTATTAAGGATCAATCAAATATATTTCATTGTCCTTTCATTATAGTTTAATACTTCAATACATTGTTAAATAAAACTGTTTCAATCCTTTATTATACAGTCATTGCTAATTTTTGGTGTTAAAAACGTTAACATAAATTAATATTTAGGTCATTCAAAATTTGTTTACCACATAAATTTCTGAGTAGTAAACAGATTATAATATTTTAAATACCATATTTATTTCCTCACAACGTTTTACTTTTTGTATTTATTATTTTGTTTGTTAAACTACGACAATCAATATTGAATATTTATAGGGTGATATACCAAGCATATTCACCCCTATATTTTAATTTAAATATGTATTTATTCATATTCCGATTTTTAAAATTTTTAAATATACCTACTTTAATACCTAATAATTTACTTAATAGGGAATATATTAAAAATATAAAGAGATTAAATATTATAAGAAGTGTCCGGTGACGATACAAGCTTTTGTTTTTCAAATAAAATCTTCTATTTTACTATTAATTAATAGCTTGATAACTTTTTTTAAATAATTTAATGTACTTTATTCAAATTAACAGTGATTGAAATGTTTATGTTAAAAATAATAGTCTTAATACTCCTTAAAAATAATTTTACGTAAACATAGATTAGTTGTAATATTGAATGTAGTATAGGTATATTATGCATTCACCATTTTTACAATTTATAAATGCTAAAGAATTAATTTTCAAATCATCGCAGCCTCATACTTCAAAACTCATCTTCATGGATCCTTTGTAAAAACTCAAAAACTACTAGTCAACATTTTATTTTTATACATTAATATTTTCAGAAAAATTATCAACTAAATATTTATTAAAAAAAAAAAAGGAGGGGTAGTAATTTGAAATACTGTAGTTTGTATCTTCATAAAATACTCCTAAAGTAGTACGAAAATCTTCATAATTTGAAAGTAAAGGACGTATGTTTTATGAAAATATTTAAAAATTCAAAAAATCATATTTTGAATAACTACATTATTGAAGAATAAAAATGAGGTGAGTATGCTTAGTGAATTACCCAATATACTCATACGTCATATTTATGCAGATTCACCAGATATTGTATAATTGTACATATTTTTCATTAATAAACAGAAAATAGTACGGTCTATTGTGTTCTGAAAAAAGAAATTAAATAAGCAGAATATTAGTACTATAAAATATTTTATTTTCAACGGTTCAAAAAATGTGTCTAAAATAAATAAAATATAAATTCACAATAGCATAAAAATAAATTCAAAATAGTTTTCCTATGGATATTTGAAAAATATC